ATCGCTTTATTCTCCAAAAAAATTCGCCAGCATGTAGAACAGATGCCGTTCTTCGAAAATACGCGAGATGTACAAGGCTTGGACCATATTTTAACAATGTAAATCAAAACCCATTTTATATTGAACTTACAAAGACCGACGATTACTACCGCGCATGCCTGGGTAACAAGGCCTCCTTTACCGCTGATCATTACAGCGGGGGGGGGGGGGGGGGGGGGGAGGAGGACACCGTCTGCCCGCAGCATGCAAATACCAAAAAGCAGGAAGTTCAATGGGAAACAACATATTGTCGGACTGTATATAGCATGTATATTATAATACGAAATGTATTTAAAACAATTTATGATGTCTATATGATATCATATTTTAATTAAATTATCCTTTTATATAACGATCATATTTCGAATTAATGTACCTCCCCCCCTGTAAATACCAATGATGAAGGAGGCCTGGTTGCCAAGGCATGCGCGGTAGTAATCGTTGGTCTTTGTAAGTTCAATATAAAATGGGTTTTGATTTCCATTGTAAAAATATGGTCCAAAAATTGTACACCTCGCCGAAGTATCTCCGTATTTTCAAAGAACAGCATCTGTTCTATATGCTGGCTTTTTTTAGAGAATAAAGCGATTTGAATAGGAGAATTTTAGATTCGAAGTGCCGTGCAGACGGATCGACGATTGTAAGTAGTTTGCCTTCATCATATAGTATGTATATTAGTATCATCGTCCATCGAGTGCAAAGTCTCGAAAAATATTAGTCTAACAAAAGAGAAATAAAAGGAGAACACACACTATCAAATAGGCAAGTCAATTTCATTTTAAAATTTATATTTTATGACATAATTTTACTATAATACACATTACTATACTGACGCTTGCAAGATTGGGCCACCTGTGTTTGTACTGACATCGTCAATCAACTTCGTACCCAGAGGTCCCCATGTTTAAAGGTCCCAACTCGTGCACCAGAACCTTTAAACACCGCGGAGACCCTTGGTACGAGGTTGATCGTCAATTTCCATGCAGCACAGGTGCATTTCTGTGCAACACAATCGCATTTCCTTGCAGTACAGTCGTGTTTCCATGCAGCACAGTCGTGTTTCCATGCAGTACAATCTCATTTCCATGCAGCACAGTCGTGTTTCCATGCAGCACAATCGCATTTCCATGCAGCACAGTCGTGTTTCCATGCAGCACAATCGCATTTCCATGAAGCACAGTCGTGTTTCCATGCAGCACAATCGTATTTCCTTGCAGCACAGTCATGTTTCCATGCAGCACAATCGTGTTTCCATGCAGCACAATCGTGTTTCCATGCAGCACAATCGTGTTTCCATGCAGCACAATCGCATTTCCATGAAGCACAGTCGTGTTTCCATGCAGCACAATCGCATTTCCATGCAGCACAGTCATGTTTCCATGCAGCACAATCGTGTTTCCATGCAGCACAATCGTGTTTCCATGCAGCACAGTCGCATTTCCTTGCAGCACAGTCGCGTTTCCTTGCAGCACAATCGTGTTTTCATGCAGCACAGTCGCATTTCCTTGCAGCACAGTCGCGTTTCCATGCAGCAGGGGTGGCCCTTATCGGCCACCGTAAGAAACTCATCAAAACTTCACAAGTGGTATAAAAGAACAAATTATGTAAAACATATTCTCTCTAATAATGGAGTTGATGTAGGGAACTCACTAGAATAAAAAATAAAGACGTAAACTCTCAATACATCTTCAAAAAACAAATTAAGAAGCATTTTTTATGAAAACATTCTATTTGCATATTATTCTATTTGCATATTATTGTTCCTCTATTACTCTGAAAATTCTCTCTCTGATTTGACTGTAAAATAAAATAATATATTATAAATCTAACAGTTAACAATAAACCTTTACTAAGGGCCTAAAGCAAAAAGACTGACAAAGTATCTAGTAGGCCCAAATTAATATATAAGGAAAAATATGTAAATATTGTCTATGGAACTGTACATAGGGGAGAAAAATTAAAAATCCTCAGGTTTTCTGGGTTTTCTTTCCTCAATGTTTAATCGCGACCAAGATTTTGGTCTAAATATTAAACTTTTAACCTTGCTTGGATTTGCTTCTTTTCATGTTCCTTTGTTCCATCCTTGGGAAACACTGGTACAGGCAGGGACGCCGGAACGATGTGAAGGCAAGGGCGGCAGATTTTGTGAAAGGCCAGGGCACTTTTGAATTGATATATACTACGAGATGTTTGAAAAACATCGGGAGTTGAACTTCGCCTAATCTTGTTTTCTAATTATTGGATGATAGGGGTGTGAGGTGGTTCTCCGCCAGGCGATTGTGCTATTCTTGAAGCTCAATGACTGCATTTCTTGCGTTTTCTGAAGCAAATTCGTAAAATAATTGCACTAACATTTCTGACAATTCGCTATTTCGCCAGGGCAATCCTTTAAATTGAAAAGGCACCTTTGCTCCCCTTGCCCCTCCTGGTAAAGGGCAACGGGGGCGGCTACCCCTCCTGCCCCCCACCAGTTCCGGCGTCCCTGGGTACAGGCACACATGCAGGGGAAATATATTGCTTGTTGTAAGCATAGTTGATCTTATACATAGAGGACCACTAGTACATGATTACATGCCTCAACTGTTCCAGCTGTTCAAGGACATACATCCACACTTTTATATGTGAGTCATCACAAATCCTTTTTGATGGACTTACTGAGCTTTACAAAAAAATGTCATGGTATTGTCAATGGGGCATATGGCAACATGAATTATATCAACAAATCAACTGATCCAATATGAGTAGGCCCCCTCATCTTTGTATTTGCCAATATATTCAACATCCACTGCCTTTACTCATAGAATGTAGCATTCCATCTGCATCAAGATGTGGCCATGTTTGAATGTCATCTTTCCAATATTCATCGAGTGTTAGGATCGCTCTTAATAATATCATTAGTTTGTAGCCTTTGCTGGTATTTCTTCTTAATTACTGCTATCAAAAATTTGTTCCTGTGTAAATTTCTTTGGAGCACCCAATTCATACGCTTTAAATGCTCTTGCCACAAGTTCAACCTTTTCCCCACTGTGTCAACAGCCATAAACAGCCAAAGTAAAATGAATATTTGCAGTATAGTCTCCTATGAGAACATAAAATATAAACAACTGAAACTCAGTCTCAATATCTCTCAATATATACCCTTTGGATTCGCTTACTTTTATAAGTTTATTTCTTATATCCATGTAATATATAAAGCTGAGATTGACATTGGTATCAGGTTACACTCTCGCACCTAGACGTCTTTCTTCTTTCCGACGGCTTTGTTGTCTTGTTTTTAATCATGATTCTTTTGTAATGTTGTTTTGTTTAAACAACAGAGACGTAAAAGCTCTGTTTTCGGCATTTCGTCGTCGTGAATCCACTGTAAACAGCTCGCCGAAAGGTGTCGAAGAAATCAGCATATTCACGGATTTCCCTCAATCAGATTCCATTGAAATCTTTACCAGTAGTTTAAAAATACACACAAATTAAATCAGCCAGAATACAAAAATTCGGACTATCTTTTAATATAGCATGAGAAAATCAACAAAATGTCCACACAAAATTATCGCTCCCTCATTAGTAAAATATATGGCAGCCATGGCTTGGCCTCGCGCTCGCCCCAATGTTTTGCACCCCCGGCAATATGGCGGAATAAACCTTGAAAGGGCCTATTATAGTGCCATGACCATCATGAAAGTGTTTGAGTATAACCCCTATGCAATGCGCCCTACTTATTATTTTTCACTTGTCTAACGCCAGACGATTTTACTCGTCAATGGGGAAGCTGTGCAGCTTAAAGGGGAAGTCAGAGTTCAGAACAACTTAGGCTGATATGAAAGATCATATAATGCTTACCTCTCACACAAACTCCCACATGTCCAAGTTATAACCAAGTCGAGAAATAAAGCGATGAATGTGCTAAAATTTACATATAACGCAGCAGCCATTTTGTACATCCAAGCGAAGCTGCGATCACGCAGCGGTTTTACCTTGTGACGTCATTGCGCGGTTGGCTTTCCACGGCAGACAGGCTTTAGTACTTTAATTTTCTGATATACATGTAAGCAAAGACGAAATAGTATTTATAAATTTAAGAGAAATACTGTATCAAGAGAAATGGATATTGATTACTCAAACGAATCTTCGAGCGATGGTTCTGGAAGCAGTGGATCGAGTTATAGCGAAGATATGAACGTCGAAAGAGACGTAAACATGATTCAACCTTACGCGTTTGAACCGGTTGAAACAGACTCGAGCGGTGACCATGAAGATTCGGAAGAAATGGCTTCGGAATCTTCGTCAAATTCTTACAAAACCCCCAGACTTCAGGACACGAACTGGTAATTATTTGCTAAATTTGCTTCTATTATTTATGTTGTAGATATGTAGGTTAAGCTTTTTCAGCAACATGCACAACTAGGGTTATTAGTGCTTTAATTGTTTGTACATTAATATGGCGGCATTATTATTTATTATGTTTGTACTTATAATTATTATAGTTTTCAATGAATCAAACATGACTGAAAATCATAAATTCAACTGCTATATGCTTTAGCCCAAATTAACTTGGTTTAGCCAAAATTAACTTGTGATTAAATTGGAACTTGGCTTTATACATGTAGGTGCCTTTGTACTCACTGCCAAATAATGGATAGGGAAGAGGAAAGTATTTGCTGCCAAGAGATCCCAGCTTGTGTTTCCATAAACCAAGAAGCAGCACAAATTGAGGAGATACCCGTCCCAGAATGTATTACTGATAACCCTGCATTTCAGTACTTATGTCTGAATTATTGGGTCTTGCGAGTTGCTTGGAGCGATTATAGACAACATTATAGCATAAAAGCACATGAAGGGCCTGAGCACAAAAAACGAAGACATGTTGCTTACAGGCAGTTTGTTAGGTGGCGTTGGGATATATTAGGCAAAGAGATAAGGGTCCCCTTGCCATCTTGTGCAGTTAGTTGTATTCGAGCACACTTCCCACCACCAGGTTTAGAAGAGGACTTTGTTTTTGAGGGTTTTAAATTTGCAGATGAGTAATTAAATATGTGATAGGGGTTTTCATTTCTTACTTTCTATATATTGTTGTAATAGTGCTATTTGGCTTACTATATTATTAACATTATTTTCAACCTACAGTAATCTGCTTGTTTTGTTTTGTCAAGTAATAATTTCTAATTACAACTATTTATAATACATTATGTAATATTTACAACTATCTTGTTCCCCTCCATTTAAAAGTGTTATTTTTTTAACTATTTAAGAACAAAGAGTCTGCTTCATTCTTCGGGAAACTTTATCCAATTAGTTGTCTCCTTATCTTAGGCATTGGGTCTAGATAATTAATCTAGTTTAATTAAAACAATCACAGTTCCCAACAATTCTCCTTATAATGTTAAATATTCTGGCATTAGATAGAGTAAAATATCAAAGTAGGGTGCATCATGGCTAAATGGTTTCACCAGAGACATGAGCAGGAAGTCTGGTTAACTCATTGTCACCCAATGCTCCTCATTTAGTAAAATTGCCTTGTATTAGACAAAGTAAAATAACAAAGTAGAGCACATGCCAGCTAAATGGGTTTACAAGAGAATATGCATATATAGTCTGCTTAGCACATTAATGCTTCTCCTACACTTCTCTGTGATGTGTAAATTGGCATAACAGTAGACAGAGTAAAATAACAAAGTAGGACATTGCGGCTCGACCCAGTGGAGGACACTTTGGAAAAAAATGGGGGGCGGGGGGATTAAGTTACAACATATGACCACATTTAGTAGCCGGAAATCTTAGTTCTTTCAACATTCTTGCCCTAAATTTCATGCAATACTGTATGTAGTGATAAATGTTTCCATGGTTGGAAAAAAGTTGCAGCTCTCTTACGTAAACAGTGTTATTCAGGTATAATTTAAAGGTTTTCGCCCCCACCCCCAGTGTCCACCACTGGGTTTACCTACTCATTTCAACACGCTTCAGGAAACAGCTTATGGTTTCTTTCCCATTCGTGATCTGTGTGCCGTTATAATCTCTTCTTTGCATGGCCTTGGTATGGGTGCAATGTTCTTTGGAATATTGGCAGGCAGATTTATAGGGTTTTTTCTTGTCATACTTGAGGGAAAAACATCTTCCATCAAGTTTTGGATAAAGGAAAAGGACTTACTGGCCTTAACTGGTTTTGCAACCCATCTCTTTCTGCCTTTTGGGAAAATTAACTTATACCTCTTTTCTCCTTTCTTGCTTCCCTTTCTAACTGTTGCTTGCTTCCTGCCAGTGTTGAAGTTGTGGTCCATCACTGCCAATTGGGTCCTGGCCAACATGCCTTTGTATGAAAAATGACGACGTTTGGGAATGTACTTCAACATTAGTGAATGGTAGACTTCAAGGTCGCCTGTATGATGAATATCTTTTAAACGTTTTTTTATTGAGAACCACAGATTCTAGTGCTACGTATGCTGCAGACCCATCCTCTAACCATTTTGTCTTCCTTTCCTTTCTTCTAGAGAGACGCCGATGTCCACACTTTCGAAAACGCTTGCCATTCTTCCATCTGTGCTTGTTAACCACATGATTCAAGATGGAGACCCATTTCTCAAGTAAAACTTCAGCATTACCACCACAAGTCTGTGAACACCACCACAGATGATTGGACACGGATTGGATCCATTTAAGAAGTGATTCATTGCTCTTTGTCTTAACTTTATTCCCCAATTTTTTTTTAATCCACTTCGACAGATGCCACACATCGTACTGATGAATTATGGAGGGGTATTTCTTCCTCATCTCCGATGTGATCTGGGTATGACGATCAGTTGATAAAGATCTTATATGGACATTTTGGTCAATGACTTTTTGAGTGACCTTTGACAGCCTTCATTTTCCATTGCATTAGAGGAAGACACTTCCGAGACTTGCACAAGGGAGAAATCTATATATAATCTTCCCTGAATCTTCGTCCATCAATGTGCATGTACCTTATTTAGCACTGTGACTAGGACTATCAGATCGACCATCACCGCATAAATTGACTTCAGTATTCTCCTTTTTGAGTGTTTCAATTACATCCTTCCGTTGTTTTTCATAGGCATTGTTGATGACTGGGAAAACAATCTTAACCTGCACATCCTAAAACTGGTCTTTATTAACAAAGTTTAAATTAAGCGCATTAGAAAATTGTTTCATAGATTCATAGGATCCCCCAGTAATGACAGTTGCAGCAGGAATCAAAATGTTACCAGCTGGCTTGTTATCTATCTCTGGTTGTGATCTCCAGTGAAAGGTATGGTTGTTACAACATGTTGCTTTGATTACTACCATGCTACCAGTGTTAGACTTTTCAATCTCACATAGAGAACCACACGTGTTACAGTTGATAAATAGCTGATCAAGCATACTTTCAAACACAATAAATTTTCTTTCATTTTTTAGTTCTTCCTCGTCAGACTCAGCACTGTTGTCTAATTCTGAGCAAATATAATCGTCGTCACTATCTGTTGTGACATCACTATCTGATGTATCATCCTCACTGCTACTGCAAATGTTCACAATCTGTTCAGAATCAGTTAGTGTCATGTTTGTGTCCGTTTCGTTCCTGACAACTGATGTTGAAGGGGAGGTGACAACAGGATCATTGAAATATAGAGCACGGATCGTGGATGACTTTTGTCCTTTCGTTTCCATCGGTGTTGAAGGAGGAGTAGGAACTGGACAACTGTTACTTAAGGACAACTGTTATTTATGGATGAACATTTCTAGGCAACATGCGACACTGTACATATGTACGTATAGAAAGTTTACATGCGCTTCTGTACAGATGGTTTGGAGTCGCAGTTATTACACTGAGGATAACAACCTTCTTTCGTCACGAGATTCGCAGATCCACAACAATAAATACAAATGGGATCCTTGTTCATGGAAAAATAAAGTTTCTCTAAAGGATCATAGCATTGTATATCTCTGATGCATACATCAGCTAAGCGGCCGTTAAGGTCAAGATCTGATAAGGTCGCACCACATGTGTAGGTATAGTCGGAAAGGGCATTGTCCAGCTGTAAACGTTCAACAGCTGTTAACTTGCACATTGAGTAGACCAAGCGCCACATCTCACATTCTTCGCATTGAATCATCATGTTGGTGTTTCGTGGATTCTGGACACTAGAAACGAAAGGCAACGTTTTGATTCTTGCAGGACGTTTCTGAAGTGTAGAGCGATGTTTTTCACTTGTCGTTTTGCCATAAACTACCTCAAATGGCTTGTAGTGTCCGCCATCGTTTGTGACTGGATCGTGATGGAACTTGATTTCTTCAAAGACATCAGAAGGAAGGCTAGTTGGCTTAAATATTCTGCAATCAGTTTCTCCACACTTTTTGATGCAGAAAGAGTAGTGCTTCAACTGGCAGCAATGCTAAATGAACGCTTTGATCTTCGGGTACTCAGGTAGTACTGCTTTGATCCACTTGACATCTGCCGTAACCGACTCGTGTACTGACTTTATGCTTGACAAAAACTCTTCAATTTCGGCTGTGGTGGCTATTGCGAAGGATTCGACCTTTTTTTCTTTCAACGACAGTCTGTGGAAGACACTTGACATGAGTAATTTCATAGGAGCAATACTATCAAGGATGCCATCTTTGATGGTAGGATTCTTCTCTGCTGCTGCTCGAAGTTGTTTCATATTCTTGCATTTGGCCACGGCTGCTTCGAACTCGTCATCAATTTGCTTCCTCGTCAGACCAATCGATTGCAGCCCAATGTTAAGCAACGGCATGATGCGCTCTACGGGATTTCTCCATGAGTGAAATGCATGGTGCTGCACGAGCGACGCACAAGAAATCCAAGTCATATTTGAAGAATAATGACATTAATTAATGACGTCTGTACCGACATATATGTGAGCCTGTGATCTGGCCCACCGTCACTGTAGAGAAACAAGATGGGTTTGGTTTGCAGATTTCTTGATGACAGGATATTACCAAGCACTGTGCAGTGTCGTGCAGGACTGGATGGCTCAAAAGAGGGCCCTGAAGGGATAAAATGGGAACTGGGATTGATCTATTTTTAGACTGGGAAAATGGGATTTGGGTTGCTGGGACTGGGATTTAGCCACTGGGAATGGGAAATGAAATCCTCAAAAATGGGAATGGTATTGGGTAATGCGAGTCGATTCCCAATTTTTCCACGTTTTAAGTATTTTAAAATACAAATTTGATCCGTTTTTGGTGTCTTTGGTCATGATTTTTGTTGTTAACTATATTATTCACAGCACTATCTGCGAACAGGCATACTCTGGCGCCCGGAATTCTGGGTTTTCTGATTATGCGTGTCTCAGAATGCTACAAATGCCATTTCCGGGATTCAAATTTAAAAATTTTCCGTGCCTTCGGCACGAGCCCCCCACTGTTTCATGAAGTGTCCGCCACTTGCACGCACAGTGGCTTAAAAGGTCTTAAAACTGTTTATTCTACCGATGAATAAAGGGTTTTTTATTGACTGGGATTTCAATAACTCGGACTGGGATTTCTAATAAAAATCCAACTGGGACTGGGATTTTGCCAAAATTTCAGGTGGGAAATGGGATTGGGACCCCCCCTTCAGGACCCTCTCAAAAGCACCTTCCTTTAAGCCTACTGCGACTTGACGTACCATGATGACTCAACAGTTTCAGGAATATCTACCAGGAAGCAGACTGAAGGAACAATACTATGTTGAGTAAAATCGTGATCACCAACTTGGAACGAACTATTAAGGCTCACAAGAACTCGGCGTCCTCTCTCTGCCGCAGCAACAGGAAATCCTGGTTCCCCAACTTTTACGCGGTGTTTATCGTCCACGCACGAGAAGTTGTTGAATGACCTGAACTTCACAGCCAACTCACGCTGGGATCTGAAAATGGCAGCAGCATAGTGAGCGCCGGGGTGACTTTTTCGGAATTGTCGTGCCTGAACCATGAATTTGACTTTCAACTTTCCCGTGTAATGGATCTTTGAGTGAGCATGCTTTGACTTTGGCCAAAATTGAAGCCGAAGCCAAGGTTCAGAAGGTATTTTGGTACCTTCTGGGCATCTGGTTTTCACTTGCTCAATGAGATCTCTTGCTGATATTGCTCGAGCAAGGTGCACCCCTTGGTCATAGCGTCTGTCATCAACAGGTGTTCCCACTTCTTCTTCCAAAAACTTTTTGCATTTATCCCAGAAGACGTCATTCCCGTATTTAAAGCTCTCAAGTCAAGAACAACATCGGGATCTTCCATATCCAGAATAAGTCTGACTCTTTCATCAATTTCTGCTGTGTGTTCATTGGTAGCAGCAGAACTGTCATCTGTTAAGACCCGGTAGAGGCTACGCAGAACAGCTGGCTTTTTATTTGGAGCAACTCTTCCATATTTCTGCATCAGTGATTGTCGCATTGCTCTTGTGTGAAACGTAGGAATTTGCTTCTTGACGATTTCAATTGTTTGCTGGCTTTGGCATAAGGAATCGGGATCTTGTCCAGGAACTTTCCAGACACAGTTAGTGTTCCCAATGTTGTTACTAAGCCTGTATGTAAGCATGGCAGCCTTCACAGCAAGACCACATGACTTTAGTGCTTGTAGATAGTCGTACTTCCGACGAGGGTCAGTAGGGCACACATCCTCCAACACTATAAACAGAAAATTATCTTTCTCACGTAGAAGTGATTCCAGTTCAATTAAAAGAGAGGGAATAGCTTCACACTGTGGGAGAAATCGGAAATCTAGGTTATCAGCAATTGAACGCACAGGTTCTGTTAAGGACTGGAAATGTTTTGTTTTCTTATTCTGTTCCTTTAAGTAATTAGCATAATCGGACATTGAGGTAGCGAGAGATTTTGTATCTGATTTGAAATCTTTCCAACCACTTCCTTCCCAGAAGGTATCTTGCAAGCGTGTAAATAGACGATTGGAGAACTCGCGAAGCGTAATTTCAGACAGATTTTGCAGGTTTCGCTTTCTGTGCTTGCAAACTTCCGTGGTGTTATACCCGGTATAAAATGCTTTAACGATTCAGGAATTTTGTGACTTCTTTTGCATAAAACATGGGTAATGACCATCCAAAAACCACAGTGTATCAACCACCACTTTCAAAAAAGAATTTCCCACGCCAGCTACATCACTTTGTTTCCATTGCAGTTGTCGTCTTTTGAAAAATTCTATAACATCATTGTGAAGTTTTTGCTTCTGGTTTGTAACATGTGAGATTCGGATTGGCAGTGAAAGTGCTTGTAAGGATCTAGCACTATTCATGAGCATATGGAAAGCATTTGGACCTGGATATAGAAATATACTTTCATCAATATCTTATATCTGATTTGGGGCAAAAATTCAGAGGCGGGGGTGGGGGGGAGGGGAAAAATTCACATTAATATTCTCACTTAATCCAAAAAAATTAAATTTCCGGCGGTGCAATCTAATAAAAATTTAGCCAAAAAGACACTCTATAAACTATTAAAGTAAATATACAAAATACACATTTATACTCATAGTACTATCAAAAAATTATAGTACTATTAAAAGTATAAAACATTTATACCTGCCACTGGTTCAACGCCGCCACCTATTTCCTCCGTCACAAATTTCACATATGGTCCAAACAACGAAGCTACATCTGCTATTCGCATATCAGAGTCGACAGGATCGAGTTTTTCTTTACTTTACCCGACATAAGTCTGATCGAGCTCCCGGTTTGGCCCTGGTATTTGCGGGAAAACGTTGGTCGAGAAAACCCCGCGAAAAGTTACATCCGAAGGTTCTGCTTGCCCAATGTTCCACTGAACAAGAATTCGTCGTGCTGTTTTGCAATACACGCTGTAGTTCAGCATTGCAAAACAGCACAAAACCAATATTAAAGTGCAATTGAAAGTTGTTTTCCGGCATAACATGGCCGCTCCACATGTAAAATAATTGTGTACCCAGGTAGTCCCGCGTTTTTCTCCCCTGGCTTCCGGTCACTGCTTCCGGTAGATTTTTTATAGCTGTCAGAGTTTGGATATTTATTAAATAAGCGTGTACGCATAAATGCGAGAAGATCTGGCACTTTGGGTATGAAATTTAGTATTTTAACTATATAAACATTTGGTTTGGGGACGTTTTTCTTTTTTTTTCTTTTAAATTTCACTTTGAAGACATCACAAAATTTATAATAATGGTCAAAAATGGAAATAATGGCAATAATGGCGAACAAGACCATTTTCTTAAAAAGCATGCGGGCGGGAATGAGAAACTATTATACAACAAATAGTGGCCTATCGCAAGAAACACACACTGATCAAACTTTAAATTACAATAGCAATCACACAACACAACACAACACAACACAACACAACACAACACAACACAACACAACACAACACAACACAACACAAAGTCAGTTGCATAAAGACTCTATTCAACACAATTGACATACATTGTAACACTGATCAATCCAAACAAGACGAACGCAAGTATTTATACTCTAGTTTTTACAAAAATGACTACCCTTTAGACTTCATTAATAAGGTGCTACAACATAAACAACAAATTAACACGGACCGACTTAACCAAACAAAAACGAGAATTACACTTCCTTACATACATATCAGAAATGGCAGCTAGACTCCTCCAACCTTTCAACATTGACGTTGCACACAAACCAACATGCAAACTTGGGTCCAACATCACTAAACACAAAGACAAGACACATATAACGGATAAACATAACGCCACTTATATCTTCCCGTGCAAAAACTGTACGGATAAGTACCTTGGACAAACATCTAAAAAGTTGCAAACAAGACTAACAGAACACCAGAACGCAATCAACAGACACGACCATAGCTCACTTCCAGCTAAACACACAGACGACAACGGATATAAATTCGACTGGTCTCAAAACGAGATGCCTATGACAAGCAACTACTAAACATGCCCGTGAGTTTAAAGAAGCGTGGCATAGTTTAGACAAACAAACATTTAACCGTCACATTGACATTCCTACAATTTACTTACAACTGAAACGCTCACACAAATCTCCTAATTCATCTTCATTAACCTTTAACCCACCCTCAACTTCCTTCCCTACACCGTCTCATGATAACAATAATCATCCGTATTCGATAGTAACCAATGGCAACCAACATACTAAAATCCATCAACCAATCAGACGTTCCCACAGACTTCAACAGCGTCAACAACAGCGCGAAAATTCAAATGATCAATCTTTCTGATGAAGGCTCTAAGTAGGCTACCGAGTCGTAAGCTCAAAACAAATAATTACAATCCGGAGAACATATATATATATATAAATATATAAACAAATTGTTTACAGGTTAGCAAATGAATTTTTAAAATTTAAAATGGTTAAAAATATATATATTTTTGAAAAAATAATCGGCCGAAAGAGCGAAGATAAAAAACATCAAAAAAATAGAAAAATATAGAAAATATCCGAAAAGCAAAGTCTGTGAATTCAGACCTTGTGTATATAATAAAACAGTTATTCCACTCACTCTCGTCGAATATGAGCGATAGCCGGTTCAATATATATATATATATATATATATATATATATATATATATATATATATATATATATATATATATATATATATATATATATATATATATATATAATATATAATACACTCACGCGCACTTACCAATCAGCCAATCGTTGAGAGGGTCACGTGCCGATCCAATATTTTACGATATTGGACAGGAACCTATTGGACAGTTGCGATAATTCTTTAATCTTAAAATATATTTGTCGCTACACTGTGTTTCACGCTTCTTTCGAAGCGATCTTCAGGCGAATGAAGTTGATTCAATGACGTGCTCTAAACTAACGGTTTGCTGACGCATCTCGCGTGCGTTCAAATTTGCGCGCGCTAAAACTATTTCGGCTATGACAGCATTTCGCGAATATTTCTGAGCGTTTATTCAATATCCTGCTTTTGTCAGCTTCCAGTAAGCAAACCTTCTCTTCAGGGCACAGATTGCATCTTGCTGCACCAGCCGTATACGCACGGGCACGCTTTAGTATGCTCCACTTGATGTTGTATTGCTTCCCGCTTTTCTTGAGTTTCCACGCATACTTTGATAACTCTGTTTCCGCTGAATACCGAGGAACAGTTAGTGATTATATATATATATATATATATATATATATATATATATATATATATATATATATATATATATATATATATATATATATATATATATATATA